ATTATTATTATTATTATTATTATTTTAGCATGTTTGGTTGGTTTTCAGGGGAGAGTAAGACCAGACATGTACAACTCAGACAACCTGATTTTATTATTATCCAACTGTGCAATTTGAATGAAATCTCGAAAATAACGCTGAACAAAAAAAATGAAAAATACAATACGCTCTCAAAAGTAGAGATTTCAAATGCGATAAATTTTAAACCTGTATATTAGTTCTCTTGGTGTTTTTTTCTGATCAATGTTCCTCTTAAAATCGAAATGATTGACTACATCGGGTTCGAGACACTTTAGCATGCACAATATGTTATATAACACTAGATACTTCCAGGTCTGTTGTTTCGTTCATTCCAATAAAATACATATATAYAAAACTTAAATCTATCTATGTCAGATTTTCTTTGTAATTTTCCGCATTTGAATTTTTTTTTGACTCATAATTATTCATAAGAAGTGACCGTTACACCATATTTAATATTAACTATGGTTACACGGAAGATCTGTAAATTATTATCTCATGATTTTAGCCACGAATTTAATACAAAAATATTGGGAAAATGCCTTAATTCGAGGATCGTTTTCAAGGCCGAGGGCACAGTTTTTCCCTATCTGGACTGACTCTAGAAAGCGTATGGTAAATAACCCATTAATTTTCTCCTAGTCTACTCTAAAGGATAATTATGTTCTRCAAAATGAATATTTGTAGTGCGCGAACAGCACGAGCTCTCCACGAAAAAGGGTTGTAATAGTAAGCCATGATAAGCGTTAATACCATCATAAATGTAATAAAGAAAAATATTACATTTTGAAGCAGGTTGTTTGATTCTAGCCATACGTTTCGAATACGAGAATCATCGGCAAAGCAATTCTCCTCTGCACCGTAAAACTTCTTCATATTCCAAAACGATTTTTTGGTTTCGTTTCTATGCAGATACTCACACAAATCGCATATCCAGTTCGTCTCTGTCGTGTATCTGTATTTCTTTTTCCACTCAAAGTATTGGTTATACGCAGTCTCATTTTTGTCCAGGTACTTTAGATAGTTTGTCAATGCTAGGGCGTTTGGAAAATCCAGTATATCGATGTACGAACCAGGGATTAAAACATCTTTATTATAGCTTCCAGCAATAACGATTGGAACAACATTTCTATCCAAAGCGTTTTTCCAATATTTTTCTGTTAAATATCCTCGACAATTACTATTCTCAAGCGATAAAAAAAACTTGTATTTCTCGGTTATTTTATGGCATTCTCGATTACTTCGTGAACAGCTGYCTGATTGTTTAGAGAAGTATTTTTGGCAACGACCAAATACATCAACTTTAATATGCTTGGCGATCGCCTTTACGATGTTCAGTCGAAGAGATACGCAATTGCTAGCAAGCCAAATAACTAGTCGATCTTTTCCTTTAGCAAAGTTTTCATTCGCATATCTTTTTTCAGCTACGGCCCTGGCGTTATCCTCGAGCTTAAAGTATTCGCCATAAAGAGTATGAATGTCGGATTCTTGCATATGAGTAATTGTTAATTCAAACAAATTGTTTAGCTTTTCAAACTGATAGTTTGCCGTATGAGCAGGGCTTTCTTCATTAAACCAAGCCCACATCTGATTCTTGGGTTTCTTCAGGACAAGAGCTTTCATATCCTCAGGAGAGGGCGTCGAATAGCCGTGAAAGATAAYGACATGGCTTTTGGAGATATCATCCTTAGAAATAGAAAACTGACAAGACGAAACTTTGCAAGGTCGGTTGCTGAAGTCGGTGAGGTTTTTTTCTCTTCCAATAGTATGTGGCCATGGCAATGGTACGGAACCAAATGGAGTATAAAACAAGATGATTTTCATATCGGGCGATGCTTTGGAACCATTTTCTCGATTGCTTGAAATTTCAACTGTGTTTTGAGAAGGCAAGGAGTTTTTACTTTCTTGTTCCAGTGTTGCGGCTAGAGATTTGATGATGTCTAAAGTCCCAACAACTCGAACTTTCCACGAAAAAGTATCATAATAACAAACCATAACAAGCGATAATAACATTAGGAAAGTGATCGACAAAAATATTTCTCTTTTACGTAGAGTCATTTCGACCCGAGAAAACGTTTGGTCGTAGGTCTCGTAGATGTAAACAAATATAATGAATGCATAAAAGTAGTCATGAGCACATGTAATAATGGTCTTTGAGAGAGAGGTGTGAGGCTGAGTTTGACATACATTAAGAAATTGCAGAACACTCCTTTTTAAACACAGTTCCGTTCAATGACCACGAATAAAAGTTCCAAGTCGTCGGTGTTGCTATGCATAGTAAAACTATAGTTTTACCATATAGAGTGGTTTTCAAAAACCCGTAAAACAAAGTGTAATAACTAAGGTGTAATAAATTGTACACCGAAAACACAAAGGAAAATCAAAAGAAAATGCGTACAATAAAGTGTATTATCAAACTCATTAATAATCCATGAGGAAACACAACAGAAATCACGACCGTGAAGAGTTCTGTAAATCAGATACAGAATCCTGTTCATTTGCATAAACTTTGAGATGGATTTTCTTGGCCAGATTCACTTTTATCTTGAAAATTTTAGCGAAACACAAAAGAACTAACCTAGAAGTTTGATAAGTAATCTATAGTATTCGTGTCCGTGTTGTATCCAATATACAAACTCTCGGCTACGCCTCGAGTTTGTATATCGGATACAACACGGACACGAATACTGTATATATTACTTAAAGTGTAATACGCTAAAGTGTATTTCRCGGGTTTTTGAAAACCACTCTATGATTGGCTTTTAGTAGATATAGAATAGGGGTTCTGCATCAATCAATTGAGGTTCCAGTGAGGTTCCATTGAGGTACCCCCCCCTCTCAGGATCCTTACAGAGGTGACGTCATGGCTATTCTTACTACCTCTGTTTTTAGTTGGCTGGATTGTATTRTAGTTCTCGCGGCACGTGTTTGGATATTAATTTATTGATAACAGAATAAAAAACAACATATATGGCCTGTATTCCACAGACTTTGTTTGTACAGTATATGATGAACAATAAAGCATGCTTGAAGACTAATCTCTCAATAAGAAAGAGTCTCTTTGTCTTTGATTAGAATAAATTACAAGTCAAGAACAAAATAGAAAATCGTGAAATTGTTGTTTTGTTCAACA